CAGAGAACGCTACCCATACTCAGAAGCGCACGATTCGAAGATTGGCCAACTATTTCTTTCAAAGTGGAGGAATTCTGTACAGAAGAACTCTTGATTTAGGTTTGTTGCGATGCGTCAATGCCATGGAAGAGTTTAGATTGCTCGAAGAAGTACATGTCGGAACTTGCGGACCTCACATGAATGGGTTCTTGCCAAGAAGATATTAAGATCGGGGTATTTTTGGATGACTATGGGTATTTTTGGACCTCACCAATGCCAGATACCTGCTGACATGATACGGGTACCACCCAACGAACTTAATGCAACAAGTTTTCCCTGGCCCTTCTCCGCTTGGGGTATGGATGTCATCAGACCAATCGAACCCGCTGCTTCAAACGGGCATAGGTTCATTCTGGTGGCTATAGACTACTTCACAAATTGGGTTGAAGCCACATCCTATAAGGCTGTAACTACGAAGGTTGTAGCAGATTTTGTTCGGGACCGCATCGTTTGTTGATTTGGAGTACCTGAGTCAATCATTACTGAAAATGCTGCCAATCTCAACAGCGACTTGATGAAAGCCATGTGTGAAACATTCAAGATCAAGCATCGGAACTCTACAACATACAGGCCGCAAATGAACGAAGTCGTAGAGGATGCCAACAAGAACATCAAGAAGATATTGAGAAAAATGGTAGATAATTACAAACAATGGCACGAGTAGCTACCATTTTCTTTGCTCGGGTATCGCACCACAGTTTGTACCTCAACTGGGGCAACCCCCTATCTACTAGTCTATGGTACTGAAGTCGTTATCCCCACCGAAATGGAAATCCCTTCTTTAAGAATCATACAAGAAGCCGAGCTCAGCGACGCAGAATGGATACGGAACCGGTATGAACAATTAGCTCTCATTGATGGAAAATGATTGAACGAAGTATGTTACGCCAACCGGTCGAGGAGGCGACTTGGGAGACCGAGCAGGATATGCGCAGCCGTTATCCTTATCTTTTCCCAGCTTCAGGTATGTCTCTATACTCGTTCGAGGGCGAACAATTGTTTTATAAGGGGGAGGATGTGACGACCCGGCCAGTCGTCTTGAGAGTTATAGCCCCAATAACCTATTAACTACTTCTCCCATATCTATTTCTGCTATTGTGACTTGCCGGGAGGTTTCATTTTGGTTTTTGGAAGTGTCAGATATTTGTGGAAAGAGCATTGTGACGGATTGATTTGAGCTTGGTTCGAGGTAAGTGGCTTGCCTAACCTTGTGTGGGGGAACTCCCCTTAAGATTTGGTAATGTTTAATATGTGAGCGCCGTGTACGTGAGGTGACGAGTACGTACACGAGCTATTTGTTGTAAAACTCCATTTTTCACTAAGTCATAACTTGTTTTCTCCTTATTGAAACACACTAGCATATGTAACTATCCTGTTTAGACTAAAATAGCATGCCTACTTGTTTAATTGCCTATTTGAACTCTGCGTAGCATGTTTAGTGAAATTACCTGCTTTCCTTGACTTGAACTTAGTCTAAACTGTAGCTTTTCCTGCTGTAATTGTTATTTTGGTTGGTTGCGCTGCGTATTCACTTTGGGACTACGGAAAGGTATTCCGGGAGATCCCCTTGTATTGCATATTTACTTTGGGACTATGGAACGGTATTCCGGGAGATCCCCCCTGTTTTGCATATTTATTTTGGGACTACGGAACGGTATTCCGGGAGATCGCCCTGCACATTTACATTTGGGACTACAGGACGGTATCTCGGGAGATCCCCTGCTGTTATCACTGTGTTCTGAGTTGTTGCCTTTCATTTGATCCTATTCCTGCTAGATTTCTGTATTTATTTTACTGCGATATTTCATTCTGCCTTATTTTATTATATTTATACCAGTAAGGCCCTAACTTTATCTCGTCACTACTCGACCGAGGTTAGGCTTGGCACTTACTGGGTACCGTTGTGGTGTACTCACGCCCTTTGCTGCACATGTTTTTCGTGTGCAGATCTAGGTTCATCTTACTAGCCTCATCACTAGTTGCAGTCGCTGCTGCTTATTGGAGACTTCAAGGTACATCTGCTCGTGCCCGCAGATCCTTGGAGTCCCCCTCTATCCCCCTATGTTCATTTTTCCTTCTTTCTATAGAAATGATGTATAGAACGGTTAAGACTTCTTAGTAGCTTGTGACTTATGGTATTTCGGGTTTTGGGAAATTATTTTGTACATTTTTCATAGGTGTTAATTGTATATGACGGGTGGCATTCAGCTGCTTATTAGATAATTGTTATTGTTAGTAGTTAATGTTTGTGTTTTTGTTTCATTTCCGCAGAGTGTTAGGCTTACCTAGTCGTAGAGACTAGGTGTTGTCACGACGGTTCACGGAGAGAGAAATTGGATCGTGACAAGATCTATGGGATTAAGTTGTTCTATGAGTATTGTGTAACCTGCGTAGCTAACTTTAGTATCCATGTGGGTAAGTAAGTTATTCATTGGGCATGGAGATGGGTCATGGGTGTTGTTGGACCTCGGCACTAGATTCAAGTGCAATATAGTTATCCTGTCAGCCTGTGGTTTGTGCCTGCTGTTTGTCCGGAGAATAAGACTATTGAAGGCCTGGGATATTCCTGGGTTACTTTTATATTGGGCATGTAATTGCTTTGGTGGTCTTGTATTCGTTTCAGCCTGTGTTTTGTCATCTGCAAGTCTGCATTATTTCATTCTTTGGCCTGTAATAACTTGTAATAATGAACAATTGGGGATTAATGAAAAGGGGGAACTGGGATACTTTATCATTTGCATGAATGAGTAGAGATCATGCTAATAGGATCTTAATAGCTTGTTTACTCATCACGTCTCATTCTCTGGAATTATATGCATACAATGTTATGACTTGAACGGCTAGAGAGCATGCCTATAGGATCCAAACTAGACTTCTTGCACTTAGATATCATGCATATAGGAACTCAAACACTTCACCTATTCAACCTGTCTAATGCTTGCACACTATCAGAAACATGTTTGAAAGAACCTAAGTGTTTCACTTGTTCGCATGCTTACTTCTATGCACTATTAGATAACATGCCTATAGGATACAACAATACAATACCTTTACTTATCTAGATACCATGGCTATAGGGTCTTAACTAATTAATCAATTGCTTCATGTTGCTTTTGTACTGCTTCATTTAGATAGCATGCCTATAGGGATAAAGTGTTTAAAAATCAAGTCCAATTGTCAATTGTTAGAAATCCTGCCCATAGGATCTTTATTGACGCTACCAATCTTGTGTTTTCAAATGACTTCACTGCCTAAATATGCGACTATTAGAGATCATGCCTATAGTGTACTATCACCTGCCTAAGACGCATATCTATAAAATCAGCATTAGTAATTCAGAATTGTGGGATTGTTTTCACCACCTTATTACGCAAACGATTAGATATCATGTCTATAGGACTAGCAATGCTCTAATTTACCTATACGTTAGTCCAGAAATTACAGCACTTCCTATATAATACTGGAATCTAGAATCATATAGAAATCATGCCTATAGGACTTCACGATTCCAACACATCTTAATGCCATCTACTGCCTAACCAGAAATATTTTTGCGTGCTTTCCTGCTTATGTGTGGAGGTTACTTGAGCCTTTTATTGCAATTATATGCAGTCCTATCTGTTTTGCATGTCGCCTAGTTTTATCATTTTGAGCAACCTAAGTATAGTCTAGAACCACCTTATAGTAGGTCCAAAGCCTCCTGGACCATAGGCATGGGACGGGTAGTGCACGCATAGGGTACGACTTAGAATTGAATTAGAACACTTTTAAGTAAACAACTTCAACATAGTAATCGGGTAGCAGGAGATGATAGTCTGTGCTCGCTGAATAATACGAACAACCTCTACTTTAAGGGAGCTGTGAAGTACTATTTATGTTGCATGGGGTGATCCTTTAGGCTAAAACACTTAGGACCCCCTCCCTTTTTTTTCATTTATGTACTTGTTATCTATATTTAACTGTTTAATATAAACCAATGTAGTTATATCCTTGTAGCCATTAAGACTTGTACTGATTCTCATATGTTTTAATAAGACTCTACACCTCTGAACTTCCCTTCTATTTATTTGATCGCCTAGCCTAATTGTATAATCCACATGGTCTAAAGTTTGGCTGGGACCCACACTTGTGGACCTCGAAGAGTGCCTAACACCTTCTCTTTGAGGTAATTTAAGCCCTTCCCCGATCTTTGGTGGCGTTGACTAGTCAAATAGAGTTATTTGCAACTAGGTGCCCTAACGCATCTTAATAATCATTAGGTGGCGATTATTCTCTTTTAATACCTCCTTTTAAAAGAGTTGCCATATGTCGAAAGCCCGCTTTCGCGAGAAAATGGGGCACGACACTAATCTAACCTCCTGTGTGTAGCGAGCCACCTTTACTGGAGGCACGGTTTGCCTTTGCTTGTCCACTCTTCTTCTTCTTCTTCTTCCATTCATCGATATTCCATTTTGCAAGAATGTTCTTCCACACATCTTCTCTTAACCACTCCGGCATTTTATCAGCATTCCGAGCAGCGAATAGAGTATCTTTAATCCGCTTTGCAGCCTTCATCTCGAAAATATCATTTATTTCATTTTGATGCAGGATACCATGTACACTTTGTATGCAATATAAAAAAGTAACACTAGATGAAGATGATAATTATTAAATAAATGTAATCAATTTTTACCCTAAATTAATTCCACATTTTCTCTTTGATGTTGTAGATTATCTGTCTCCAAGAATTCCATGGCTCATGATAAATAAACTTCATAGAATCCACAACCAAATGTGTAGACTGAAAGGATAGCAAAAACCTGCATTAAAGTTAACATATATAATTAATAAGCATCTTAAATTTTCAAAAGTTCTAATTATAAATAAATATTCCTTAATGTTAAAATATCTAAAAGTACATTCAAAACTTTAAAAATATTATAAGAACCTTCTTACCCATCCTCGTAGGGGACGATTATCAATCAATTATAACTATCATATTGTATATCCCCTCCAAGATTTTGCATGCGTCTACTAGATGGTGTAGAAGTAGCACTAGATGTAACTGGGCGAGAGCCTCCAAAATCCAACTTAGATATGCTGGGAGTGGATGATGATGATGGAGTGGAATATGATGGAGCAACAAAAGACGAATCATCATGCTGACTACCATAAAAGCTCGAGGGTGTAGCAGCTGGTGAGCCACTATGCTGTCTACTATGAAAGCTCGGGGGTGCTGCAGCTGGTGAGCCACTATGCTGACTACCATGAAAGCTCGGGGGTGCAGCAGCTGGTGAGCTACCATGCTGACTACCATGAAAGCCCGATGAAGAATATGGTATAGAAGGTGTGGGTATAAAGTTAAAATCAGTGTTACTTTGACTTCCTTTGGCAGGCATAGAATAATACTGGACTGAATTATTATATGGAGGGGGGGATAGTGAACATGGTAGATGGCAATGAAGTCGACTGAGGAGGATGAGGAAGAGGATAGCGAGGAAGATGAGGACTCGTATTTGACATACTTGAAGTAGTTGGAACAGATTATTGTTTCTTCCTAGATTTCATCTTTTCCTCCCCCTTAGATGCTACATCTTTAATATAATCATAATAAAATACAAAACACAAAATACAACAAGTGATAGTAAATATAAAATAATTATTCTACAAATTAAATGACTAAAGAAATAAATAAACAACCTAACAAGTAATAAAAATATAAAATAATTTTGCAACATAATAGATAATTAAAGAAATAACATAAAAACCCCAACATGTCATAAACAATATACAACAATTCTTCAAATATATTAAATGATTAAAGGAAGAGCAACATAAAAAAGAATAACAAGACAATCATCATCGTTATCGCCATAGTAATGATCTAAGTCTTCATCATCGCTTGTTTCACTTTTATCTAGTAATTCTTCCTCATCACTTATTTCATGTTCAATTCCTCTATATTTGTCCTCATTTGGTCCAAGGCCAGAAGGATCAAATTCTTCATATATCCCTTCATTATGCTGCAATTCATCTGCTAATTCATCATCCACTATTGATTATGTAACGACCCGACCTGTTGTTTTGCTTTCTAGATGCATGTTCCCCTAATTAAGATTTCACGTATGTTCTTATACTGTTTTATGACTTGCGGGCATGGTTAGTTCGGGTTAGGAAGGGTTCGTGTTGAAATCGGAATACTTAGTTCCTTAACAGTAGCCTATAGTGGTTAAGTTTGACTTGAGTCAACATTGTGAGTAAACGACCTCATAACTGGTATTTGACAGTCCCAATAGGTTTTTATGATGATTTTGCACTTGGGTGTGTGCTCGGATCGGGTTTTGGATGATTCGAGAGCGTTTCAGCGCTTAATATTGAAAGTTGGCACGCTGAATATTTTTCAAGTTCTTTATGTTTGGTTTAAAGTAGGTTTTGGTGTTTTCCAGGTCCGTTTGGGATTCTGATCCTGGGAGTAGTTTCTATGGTGATTTATGACTTGCACGCCAAATTTGGCTTCATTCCGAGGTTATTTGATAAGAATCGGACGCGCGGAAGTGTTATGAGAAGTTTTAGAGTTTAATGTCGAATTCATGAGTTTTAGCGTCTGATTCCTAATTCTAGATGTTATTTTGGTGTTTCAATTACACGAGCGGGTCTGTATTATATTGTTGGATGTGTGAGTATATTTGGATAGGGCCCCGGGAGCCCAGGATGCGAGATGGATTGGAATCAGACTCGATTTGGCATGGGGGAAACTACTAGTGCTTTAGATCTGGTGTGAAGTCTGGTGCGTTCGCACCTGCATAGATTTGGCCGCAGGTGCAGGGCCGCAGAAGCGACCCAATGGTCGCATAAGTGGATTTGAGGCCGGAGCTGGTGATCGTACGTGCGAGGATGTTTCCATATCTGCACGCCTGCAGAAGCGATCGAGGCTCCGCAGATGCGGACTTGGGCTGGCCGGATGTGGGTCGCAAAAGTGAAAGGAATCCGCAGAAGAGGACCCATAGAAGCGGCTCCCCATCCGCCAAAGCGAAGAAGCTGGAGGCAGTGGTGGATCGCAGGTGCAACCTTTTAATCGCACCTGCGGTTCCGCAGATGCGATCAAGTGGCCGTAGATGCGAAAATCGCTGGGGCAGTAATGGCTTTTATTGCGGGACTTAGACCTTTTTCCTCACATTTTTATTTAGTCTTGAGAGATTTTGAGAGCACAATTGAGGGGGATTCTCATCAATATCCTAGGGTAAGTAATTCCCATCCATTTTCAATTTAATTATGCGGGTTTTAGATAGATTAAACATGGAAAGATAGTTAAAACTTGTGGGATTTGTGAAGAACCTAGAGTTCTGGTAAAATGGGATTTGACGACGAAAATTGTTATGGAATTAAGTAAAAAATTATATATTTGAGTTCGTGAGGCTATGGGTAATATTCATCTTCGAAAATTTCCGGAATCCGGGCACGTGGGTCTAGGGGCGAATTTTAAGAATCTTCCAATTTGGGTTGGGTAATTACTCTAATAGCTAAATTATAAAGTTTTGAGTATATATTGATTTAACTACAAAATATTTGACTAGTTTTGGATGGTTCGGCATCGACTTAGGGCTTTTAGAGCAGATTAGTGGACTAGAAGTGAGCTTGGAAATAAGGTAAGTCTCTTTCCTAACCTTGTAAGAAAGAACTCATCCGCTTAAGTGTATCTTGTTGTGTATTACTTATGTGGGGAGCTACATACGAACGAGGTGATGAGGGTCCGTGTGTAGCTATATTCCATGATATGTCCGGGTAGACTTAGATCCACATCATGCTTTTAATTGTACTGTTGGGTTTATCATGCACATTAACGATCTTGAATAGAGCTGAGACTAGGGATTTTAAAGTTGCAATTATCGACTTAGCCTTCTTATTTTGGAAAAATGAGGAATACTTAATAACTGTGAAAAATCCATGTCCTCTCGCATCGCAAGTACTTCTGCGAGCGAGGTAAACTTCTCTACTCTAATGGGATCGGGTCGTTCGCCTCGGCAGTATGGTAACACCACTCTTATGGGATCGGGCCGTTCGCCTCATTAGTATGATGGTAACACTATTCTTATAGGATCGGGTCATTCACCTTGGCAGTATGATGGTAACACTAGTCTTATGGGATCGGGTTGTTCGCCTAGGCAGAACTGAGTACCAATATTCTTGTGGGATCTGGTCGTTTGCCTCGGCAACTTTGTGCTTAATAATCGAAACGGGTTCCAGTTTGGATATAACCGAGTTAGGGTCTTCACGACCAGTTATGAGATGTTGGTGATGTATTACGGACTCCGTTGTATTTATTGTAGTTGCTTTTATTTGTCTCATTGATACCTGTTGTATGTTCACCATGCCTACTTTATGCACTTTCATTATTATTATTGACCTCTAGTAAGTGTCAAGTCGACCCCTCGTCACTACTTCTTCGAGTTTAGACTAGATACTTACTGGGTACGCGTTGTTCTTTGTACTCACGCTACACTTCTGCACTAATGTGCACGTGCTAAGACAGGTTCCACCAATGGTCACACAGGCGCGTAGCCAATCATCTACGGAGACTTAGGGGTGAGCTTCTTGCCTTCCTACGATCCGCGGCACCGGAGTCTCCTTACATCTTATTTACTATTCCTGTCTATTACTTTCGGACAGTAGTTTTAGTAGTTTTGTATATTCTCTAGATTTCTCATGTACTTGTGACGCCGGGTTTTGGGGATTTGTTGAACTTATGTACTGTTGTACTTGCCATTTTTATCACCGCAGACTATGTACTTATTATGTTGATATTTTGTTTGAAAAGACTTATCACAGTTGCATAAAATCTAATGTAATTAAAAATATGTTAAAAAGGGATAAATAAATAGTAGTTTCGTTTATGGGCTTGCCTAACGGTGGCATTAGGTGCAGTCTCGACCTAGTATGGAATTGGGTCATGACAGCTTGATGTCAGAGCCTTGGGTTCACATAGGTCTCACGAGTCATGAGCAGACCTAGTAGAGTCTTGCGGATCGGTGCAGAGACATCTGTGCTTATCTTCAAGAGGCTATATGGTATTAGGAAACTTCTCTTTCTTCATCTCCTATCGTCCAGTTGATATTATACTAAGTGTCTTTCTATTGATCTCTCACATATGATGAGAACGCACGCGACGGATGTACCAAGCGGTCGAGGGGCTGCTCCCCCTGTTGCTAGAGGCCGGGGGAGGACTCCAGCTCCAGTCAGAGGATGAGGGTGCCCTAGGGTTGCTCCTGTTGAAGCACCAGTGGATCCGGTGGAGGATCGTGTTGTTGAGGAGCAGTATGAGGCACCTGCAGCTGTGCCAGCCCCAGCAGATTTCATGACTGTGCCGGGATTCCAGGAGGCCATGGGCCGTATGTTGCGGTTCATGGACTTTATGATGCAGGATGGTTTATTTCCAGCGGACCCTTCCACATCTCAGGCGGGAGGGAGAACACAGACCCCTACCGCTCAAGCTTCAGGGCACGCTGCTGTCGTTTATCAGACCCCAGGTACACTACCTGCGGGTGGAGCCTAGCCTATTGTAGCGGCTATGCTAGAGGTTGTACCAGTCGCGATAGATAATCAGCAGAAGCGGATGGACAGATGGACTAGGCTTCGCCCCCCTACTTTTGGGGGTGACCGGTCAGAGGACCCCCAGGATTTCATTGAACGGTGCAAGGATAGGCTTCGGAACATGGGCATATTGGAGTCCAACGGGGTGGACTTCGCTAATTTTCAGTTTGACGACAAGGCTCGTAGATGGTTGCAGACTTATCTTCTTAGTAGGCCAGTAGGTTCACCTCCCTTGACATGGGATTGGTTTACACATCTCTTCTTGGAGAAGTATATACCACCTTCTGAGAGAGAGGAGCTTCGGGGCCAGTTTGAGCGAATCTGTCAAGGTCACATGTCTCTCACCGACTATAAGCCGAGATTTACTAACTTGTCTCGCCATTCTGCTATTATACTCCCCACAGATGCTGAGAGGGTGTGGAGGTTCATTGCAGGTCTACACCCTGAGATTCAGGTACCTATGACCCATAAGGCGGAGATAGGGACTTCTTTTCTTTAGGTTGTGGATATAGCTCGGAGGATCGAGCGTATTCGCAATTGCAGTGGAGAGTTTGCGTCGAGGGACAAGTGGCTCTGGTAGTTTGGAGGATTCAGTAGTGCTCCACCTGGCAGTAGAGGGCAGTTCATGAGTGGTCAGCCCATCAGGATCAAACTTCAGGTCAGCAGTCGACCATTCTGAGGGGTTGTTTCGAGTGCGGGGATCTTGGCCATATGAAGAGGTTTTGTCCCAGACTTCAGGGCCAGGCTGAGCAGCAAGACTATCGGCCCATGAATATCGCACCAACTGTTGCACTAGCCATTCGACCGCCCA